AGAGCTGGGCATCAGTGGCTTATGCCTGTAATTCTAGCTACTCAAGAGGCTGAGATCTGAGGCTCAAAGTTGGAAACCAGCCCAGGCAGGAATCACAGAAAAAGTGGGAAGTGCAGCTGTGTTAGAGTGTGAACCTTGACCAAAAGGAACTAACTCAGGGACAACATCCAGGCCCAGAGTTCAAGCCCCAGGATCAGCAAAAAAAAAAAAAAAAAAAGTCATTAGAATCAACCCTTTGCATATGCTCAACGTTCTTGTTCTTTCTCCCCTCTCTTACGTTCTCCTAGCCAAAACACAAGCCTGACTAAACCCAACCCCCAGGAGCAGCTTCCAGTCTCCTTCTACAACCATGCCAAAAAAACTCCAAAAAACAAAAAAAAACATGTTGGTCCTTGATGCTTGCCTGCAGCCAGGTTTTCCCTAGAATGAGGAAGCAGAATTAACTGCCTTAAACCATTCCTCTGCCTCCATATCCCCCCACATCTTTGGGCTCAGGCTTTGCTGTGGAGACCTCAACACAGACATACCCAGCTGTAGGAAGATCAATCCTCTTCAAGCCAGGCACTGGTGCCTCACATCTGTAATCCCAGCTACTCAGGAGGCTGAGATCAGATCATGGTTCGAAGCTAGCCCAGGCAGGAAAGTCTGTGAGACTCATCCATGCCCAAGCCTGGAGTTCAAGCTTCAAAACCATCCAAAATAAAATATAAAATTTAAAGTCTTCTTTAGAAAACAGCAACTCAGCCAGCACACCCAGCTCTCTAGTAGCCTCCAAGCTAGAGTCTGATGCTGTGGCATCCTCTTTGAAGGCCCCCTTTCCATTTCCACCTCACGTTTGCTCAGCTCTGCTCACTCACAGAGCTATTTTGACATCTCTCTTCTATTCTTAGCACAAAGCACAAACTCATCTGTGCAGATTAACCGAAGTTAGAAGAACTGCACATTCACTTTCCAAGTTCTTAGAAAAATCACGAGCCCTTGGGGACTTGGGGGGTGGAAGGGGCTGGGCAGCAAGTCAGACACTCTGTTCATGGAAAGTGTCTCTGCACTCATGGAGACTTCAGCAATCCTCACCTCTGGTAAGTCCCTTTCTCTGCCTGGAGCTTAACCTCTCTATTACCAGCCAAGTCAGAGGTCTGGATGAAATAGGTCCAATGAACCTTTCTAGATGCTGCTGCCATATTCATAGTTGCCTGTGTTTTATACCTCTACTTCATGCCCAGAGGGCACAAATATTAATAGAACACAATGCCTGTATTGAGATAGTATATTCCTTATAGACAGAGCTTGAGATAGTTCTATAATTATGCACAGTATGATAAAGGATTTAGGAACTGTTCTAAGTATGATGGGTTAGTTCTCACAAAGGAGGTAAGAGAAAATTCTTAAATGATTATTTGCACTGTGCTAGAGTGTGGTGGGGCAGGGGACCCAGTAAGGACAGTCTAATCATGAGAGCCTGAACACATGGTGAAGCTAAGGAACAAGTTCACACTTTCCAATACACCTGATCATCAAGCACATGAGAGAATAGAGCTAAAAGAGCTAGATTGGAAGCTCATCTCTTTTCTCATTTAGCAAAAATCTCATTTTAGAATTACACCATTTCTTTTCCCTTTATTTATGTGTGTGCATGTGCACATGCGCGTGCACTCGCATGCTCATGTGTGCACTAGTACTGAGGCTTCTTGAACGCTAGGCCTAGGCACTGTCTCTTGCTTTTTTACTCAAGGCTAGCACTTTACCACTTGAACCACAACTCTACTTCCAGGTTCTTTTGGTGATGTATTAGAAACTGAGTCTCACAGAAGCTGAGGGCTGGTGGCTCATACCTGTAATCCTAACTATTCAGGAGGCAGAGATTTGAGGATCATGGTTTGAAGCTAGCTCAGGCAGGAAAGTTGAGAGACTCATCTCCAATTAATCACCAGAAAACCAGAAGTGGTACTGTGGCTCAGGGACAGCACCAGGACCTGAATTCAAGCCCCAAAAAGAAAAAAAAAAAAAAAAGAGTATCACACACTTTGCTGACTAGGCTGGCTTTGAACTGTGATCCTCAGATCTCAGCCTCTTAGCCTCTTGAGCAGTTAGGATTATAGGCATAAGCCACCAGCACCTGGCTCCGAGTTTCTTGTTTATTTATTTATGTATGTATTTATTGGTGCTGGTCCTAGCACTTGAACTCAGAGCCTGGATGCTGTCCCTGAGCTTCTGTCCTCAAGGCTAGCATTCTACCAATTGAGTCACAGCTCTACTTTTTGACTTCTTGGTGGCTAATTGGAGATGAGTCTCATGGACTTTCCTGCTCAGGCTACCTTTGAATCACCATCCTCAGATCTCAGCCTTCTGAGTAGCTAGGATTATAGGTATGAGCCACTAGGTTCCTGGCTCCAAAAGTCAGGACATGTTGCCAGTTTTGGAGTCCTACCAGTCTCTAACCTGTTTTGTGAAATGTATATATTTTGGACATCTGGACTCAACATGAGTGAAACAGATGGGCAATGTACCCTGAGTCCTTCCTTCATGAAATCCTGTGGCTTTCTTTGTTCCTCATAATCTTCTATTTATAGTCATGCCTTAATGGAAGTGTTAATAAGCAAGCTGACACTGCTCTTGGGCAGTCACATCATCCTGTCACAAAATGAAAATGAACTTGGAAAATGAGCATGCAGTTCTTCTAACTTTTGGTTAATCTGCGCAGATGAGTTTGTTATTTGTGTGTGTGTGTGTAGCTAGATGTATATATAGATATATATGCATATAATATATGTGTTTGTATATATACATAGAGAGAGAGAGAAAGAGAGAGAGAGAGAGTGCAAAATGTTGAACTAGCAAGAACTAGCAATTCTCCCTGAATTTATTGGGGGGTCTAGAGGACTGACTCAACTTAGATGAGGATGTCAAGTTAACTTCTTTCTTTTGTATCTCTAGCACCATCTACTGGAAAGCAAAGTACTTTACAGGAATACTTTCATTTAGAGGAAGGTACAAAGGGAAGTAAGGAGCTGAGAACAGATTTTAACAAAAATGAGTACATGTATCACGCTGATGTGACTCATAGAATACGTAACCACTAAAAGTACAACCTTTCTACGTTATTGGCAGCACACATGTAGGTAAAAGTCCTCACAGCAAAGATTTTTTTTTTTTTTTTTTTGCTTATGTGGTGCTGGGGAATCGAACCCAGGGCCTCATGCATGCAAAGCAAGCGCTCTACCACTGAGCCACCTTCCCAGCCCCAGCAAAAGATTTTTTTAAGTCAACAACTGGAAGTTATAAATACAGAAAGCATATTATAAACTATGATATGTTCTAAGAAAACAGCATGTATGTGAGCTTATTAATTCCATCTGAATGTTATATTAGACAGTCCCTCAGATTGAATCTCAAAGCAAAACCCAATAGAAGTAGTCTTTTTCTTTTTGTCCTTTTTTTTTGGGGGTCCGGTCGTGGGGCCTGAACTCTGGGCCTGGGCGCTGTCCCTCAGCTCTTCAGCTCAAGGCTAGCACTCTACCACTTGAGCCACAGCGCCACTTCTGGTTTTTTTCTTTTTGCTTATGTGGTGCTGAGGAATCAAACCCATGGCCTCAGGCATGCAAGGCAAGCACTCTACCACTGAGCCACCTTCCTAGCCCCACTTTTTGTCCTTTTTGAGGTTTGGGGGATCAAACACAAGGCCTCATGCATGTTAGGCAAGAGTTCTACCACTGAGCTACATCCTCTTCTCTGTGTGTGTGTGTGTGTGTGTGTGTGTGTGTGTGTGTGTGTGTGTGTGTGTGTGTGTGTGTGTGTGTGTGTGTGTGTGTGTGTGTGTGTGTGTGTGTGTGAATACTGGGGCTTGATCTCAGGGCCTCATGTTCTTGTACTCAAGGCTAGTGCTCTACCACTTGAGCCATATGTGCACTTCCATCATTTTCCTGATTAACTGGAGATAAAATCTTAGGGATTTGTCTGGCTCAGTTAGCTTTGAACCTCAATCTTCATATCTCAGCCTCTCTAGTAGTTAGATTATAAGTGGAAACCACAATGCCCTGCTACAATGGAGGGATTTAAATAAAAACAACAGGGGGCTGGGAAGGTGGCTCAGTGATAGAGTGCTTACCTTGCATGCATCAGGCTCTGGGTTTGATTCCTCAGCACCACATAAGCAGAAAAAGCTGGAGCTTTTGATCTATGGCTCAAGTGGTTGAGCACTAGCCTTGAGCTGAAGAGCTTAGGGACAGCACCCAGGCTCAGAGTTCAGGCCCCATGACTGACAAAAATAAAATAAAAATTAAAAAATGAGGGGAGGCGGAGGGTGGAGATGGGAAGGGATGGGAAGGGGAAACAAAGGAGGAGGCAACAATGCTTGATAAGAAATGTACTCATTACCTTGCCCGCGTAATTGTAACCCCTCTGTACGGTATTTTCACAATAAAAAAAAATAAAATCAATAAAATAGCCTGGTGCCAGTGGCTCACCCCTATAATCCTAGCTATTCACAAGGCTAAGATCTCAGGATCATGGTTGAAAGCTAGCCCAGGCAATAAAGTCCATGAGACATTTATCTCCAATTAAACACCAACTCAAGTGGTAGAGCTCTAGCCTTGAACAAAAGAAACTTAGGAACAGTGCCCAGACCCTAAGTTCAAGCCTCAGGACTGGCACAAAATATAAGATAAAATAAGACAAGGCAGAGTTAGACTATAGCTAAGTGGTTGATCGCTTGTCTAGCATGTCTGAGACCATGAAGTGTTTTGCCCCCCAGCAGCCCTAGAGCCCTACATGAACTCCAGGACCCCAGGCCTCCCACAGCAGCAAGGCTACATCTCTGACCTGCCTTGTCCACTTTTGTCCAAAGATTTGTGTTTCCTCATAGCATTTGGGAACATGCAAAAGCAAAACCAAAGGCTTCAAATAACAACCTTAGTTCTGCTTTTACTTATTTATTTTAATGATAAGGTACATGTTCCACCTATTCATTTACTTATTTACTTACTGCAAACTCTTCCCACTAGGAAATGTAGCTCCAGTGCAAGGAACTGCATTCGACCTGAGAAAACCAGTGGAGCTTGGAAAACACCTGCAGAAATTCGGCATCAATGGTTTTGACCACAATTTTTGTCTCAAGGGATCTAAGGAGAAGCATTTCTGTGCAAGGTTGGGAACTTCTCATTTGTCGCCTCTTTAGAAGAGACACCACTCTTAGTTAACAGCTTCTTCCCCTGACCCATAACACTAGCATGTTCTAGATGATAGAAACCAAAACCTTATCCCATGGCTTTTCAAAGGTCCCATACCACAGGGGAACTCTGTACGATCTGCCATTATCCTTGGGCCCCTACTCAGGATCCTCTTTGTCTCCATCTCTTCCTGTCCTTTAAGGCACGTTTTGTCAGAAGGCCTAATTTCCCCAACTGCTCCCCTTTGCCTTGATTGAATTTCCAGAGCCCTTTGTACTTCAAATGTGTGATTTATACTCTGCCCATTTCCCTGTGAAGCCGCGGGCTCCATTCTTTTGTGGCCCTCACACACTAGATTTGCATGCACTCTCTCTCCACTAAATTTCCAGTTCCTACTTCCTCTTTGTAAAGTTATCAGTACGGCTGGGAAGGTGGCTCAGTGGCAGAGCGCTTGCCTTGCATGCATGAGGCCTGGGTTCGATTCCTCAGCACCACATAAGCAGAAAAAGCCGGAAGTGGTACTGTGGCTCAAGTAGTAGAGCGCTAGGCCTTGAGCTGAAGAGTTGAGGGACAGCACCCAGGCCCAGAGTTCAGGCTCCACGACTGACCAAAAAACAAACAAAGTTATCAGTACATAATTGTAGAATCAATGGATTTTTAGGAAAGCAGAGAAAATGATTCACAATTTATTTTTTTTAATTTTATTTTATTGTCAGTTGTGGGGCTTGAACTCTAGGCCTGGGCGCTGTCCCTCAGCTCTTCAGCTCAAGGCCAGTGCTCTACCACTTGAGCCACAGCGCCACTTCCAGTTTTCTGAGTGGTTTATTAGAGATAAAAGTCTCAAGGACTTTCCTGCCTAGGCTGGCTTTGAATCTCAATCCTCAGATCTCAGCCTCCTGAGTAGCTAGGATTACAGACATGAACCACCTGCACCTGGCATGATTCACACCCTTAATAGTGACAGAGAATTTCACAAACCTTGCTCAGAGCCTCAGCACCAAAGGCCCCTCGTGTTTCTCCAGCTCAAGAATCCACGTGTGTCTCTCAGCTTCCCCTCCCCACCTGCCTTCTCCTCAAGCTTTGACCTTCTTTCCTTAACCCCTTGGTTGACAACTTACTGTGTGTTCATTTGTGTGTTTTGCCAGTCCAGGGGCTTGAACTTATGGCCTAGACACTGTCCCTGAGTTTCTTTTGCTCAAAGATAGCATTCTACCACTCAAATCACAGGGCCACTTCAGGCTTTTTCTGTTTATGTGGTACTGAGGAATTGAACCCAGGGTTTCATGCATGCTAGACAAGCACTCTACCACTAAGCCACATTCCCAGCCCATCTTTTGAGACCTCTTCTCAATCCATAGCTGGGCACAGGAGCACATGCATGTCACATTAAACTATATAAGTGGGATGATTGTGGTTCCAGGCTAGCTAAGGAAGAAAAATCCACAAGACTTCATCAGGAAAACTGTATGTAATGTTAGTATGTGCTTGTGATCCCAGCAATGACAAGCCTAAAATAGGTGGAGATTGGAAAAGAAACTCAAAAATAATTAGTGCAAACCAAGCACAGTGATTCAAACCTGTAACCTACCTACTTGGGAGTCAGAGATTAAGGAGATCATGGATTGCAGTCAGCCTGGGTATAAAAATTAGCAAGACTCCATCTCAATCAATGACTGGACATGATGCCACACATAGGAGGATTATAATTCAGGCCACCCAAGCATGAAGCAAGACTCAATCTTGAAAATTATTAATGCAAAATGAGCCTGGTAGAGTGGCTTAAGAGCTCTCAGATAGAGAGCCTGCTTAGCGCATGCATCATCAGAACAATCATCATCATCAGTGCAAAACAGGGCTGGAGACGTGTTTCAGTGGTAGATCACCTGACAAACAAACTCTAGACTCTGAGTTGAAAACCCAGTAATGAAGCCGGGCGCCGGTGGCTCACGCTTGTAATCCTAGCTACTCAGGAGGCTGAGATCTGAGGATTGAGGTTCAAAGCTAGCCTTGGCAGGAAAGTCCATGAGACACTTATCTCCACTAAACCACTCGAAAACCAGAAGTGGTGCTGTGGCTCAAGCAGTAGAGCGCTGGTCTTGAGCTGAAGAGCGCAGGGACAGCGCCCAAGCCGAGTTCAAGCCCCACGACTGACAAGAAAGAAAGAAAGAAAGAAAACCCAGTAATGAAAACAACAAAAATAAAGATAAACAATAGTCAGGTGCTATTGGCTTACTCCTATAATCCTAGCTACTCAGCTAAGATCTGAGGATTGCCATTTGGAGCCAGCTTATACAGACACGTCCACGGAGATACTTATCTCCAACTAACCACCAAAAGCTGGAAGTAGAGGTGTGACTCAAGTAACAGAAAACTAGCCTTGAGCAAAAATCTTGAGAGAACCAGACCCAGAGTTCACGCCCCAGGACTGATGCACACACATGCACGCACGCACGCACGCACGCATGTACACGCACACAGTAATTAAGTAGAAATCCACAGTAGGACTGTTAAGGGGAATACCTACAAAATAGCTTGCTCAAGTCCCTAGGAGGAAAACAGAGAAAAACATCTCTGTCTCGTAAGACAGGATTGATTGCCTCTCCAGGCCAAGCAGAGAACGACTCTGAAAAAGAATTCCAGCCCCATGGCTGGTAATGTTTCTTAGAGATATATATAGTACTTAACCTAGCATGCTCTGGTTCCAGCCCCTCAATAAACCAATCTTGGCCCAGCGCCAGTGGCTCATGCCTATAATCCTAGCTACCCAGGAGGCTGAGATCTGAGGGTCGCTGTTCAAAGCTAGCCCGGGCAGGAAAATCCATGAGACTCTTTTTTTTTTTTTTTGTCAGTCGTGGGGCTTGAACTCTGGGCCTGGGTGCTGTCCCTCAGCTCTTCAGCTCAAGGCGAGCGCTCTACCACTTGAGCTACAGCGCCACTTCCGGTTTTCTGGAGGTTTATTGGAGATAGGAGTCTCACGGTCTCTCCTGCCCGGGCTGGCTTTGAACCACGATCCTCAGATCTCAGCCTCCTGAGTAGCTAGGATTACAGGCGTGAGCCACCAGCGCCTGGCTTCCATGAGACTCTTATGTCCAGTTAACCACCAGAAAACTGGAAGTGGTGCTGTGGCTCAAGTGGTAGAGCGCTCATCTTGAGCTGAAGAGCTGAGGGACAGCGCCCAGGCCTACAGTTCAAGCCCTACCACGACTGACCAAAACAACAACAATAATAATAATAATCTTGATCCATCCAAAACCCTAAAACTGCCTGTCTCCAACCTGGCTGCTCCCTCCTTACCTAACTTCTCCACACTTGCATGGACTGGAGTCACTCTGTTTTGTAATTCCTCAAAGAAGCCAAGATCAGAGTGAGAAGTTGTTACTGATCCTCAAAACCATCCACTTATGCCTCATCCATGATATTGGTGCCCTGTACTCCGAGCTACTTAGGAGGTGGAGACAGGAGGATCACAGTTATAAGACTGCCCAGGAAGAAAACTCCATCTCTTATTTGCAGTTACTCAGCAAAAAAGCCAGAAGTAGAGGTATGACTCAAGCAGTATAGTGCCAGCCTTAAATAGAAAAGGCCAAGCCAAGAGTAAGAGACCTTGAGTTTAGGCCTTAGTACGTACACACACACACACACACACACACACACACACACACACACACACACACACACACACACACACGAAGAATCACTATCATCCTGGTCTTCCTACCTTTATCTCGCATTTCAATCGAGGCCTTACATGTGGCTTGTCTTTCTCTCTAGGGTGCAGCACCCTGGAAGCGGCCGAGTCCTTGAAGTCTATACCACCCAGCCTGGCGTCCAGTTTTACACAGGCAACTTCCTGGATGGCACACTGAAGGGCAAGAATGGAGCTGTCTATCCCAAGCACTCTGGTTTCTGCCTCGAGACCCAGAGCTGGCCTGATGCAGTCAATCAGGTAAAGCCACAAAGGCTGGCCCATCAGAGTGCTGTTACATTCAAAGTCATGCAAGCCAGGCTATGGGATTCAGAAATCCATGAATTGTTCTCAGTAAATCCTGCTTTAAAAAAAAAAAGAAACCAAGTACTAATATGGCATTCACAAGTTTTTGTTTTTGTTTTTGTTTTTTTGCCAGTCCTGGGGTTGGAACTCAGGGCCTGAGCACTGTACCTGAGCTTTTTTCTTTTCTTTTTCTTTTTCTTTTTGTCGGAAATGGAGCTTGAACTCTGGGCCTGGGTGCTGTCCCTCAGCTCTTCAGCTCAAGTCTAGGTAGGGCTCTACCACTTGAGCCACAGCACCACTTCTGGTTTTGTGAGTGGTTTATTGGAGATAAGTGTCTCACAGACTTTCCTGCCAGGGCTGGCTCTGAACCTTGATCCTCAGATCTCAGCCTCCTGAGTAGCTAGGATTTCAGGCATGAGCCACGGGCGCCTGGCTTCACAAGTTTTTAAAAAGCTTGTTTGGGGGCTGGGAAGGTGGCTCTGTGGTAGAGCGATTGCCTTGCATGCCTGAGGCCCTGGGTTTGATTCCTCAGCACCACATAAGCAGAAAAAAAAACCAGAAGTGGTGCTGTGGCTCAAGTGGTAGAGCGCTGAAGAGCTGAGGGACAGTGCCCAGACCCAGAGTTCAAGCCCCACCACTAACAAAAAAAAAAAACGTTGTTTTGTACCTTTGCCACCTTCTGAGTCAATTCCTCCTTGTCAGCAACAGTACTTCTAAGATCCCTCATTATTTGTGTTTGTTTTCTCCCTAACAGCTTTCTTTTCTAGCTGTTACTTAAAGCCAATGCTCCCCAAAGTGTCAGCCCACCATTAGATGCTTAGGGCCTGATAGGGCACTGGTGGTGCACACTTGTAGTCCTAGCTGTTCAGGAGGCTGAGATCTAAGGGTCATGGTTCAAAGCCAGTTAGGGCAGAAAAGCTGGTGAGACATTTCCAATTGACTAGCAAAAAGACAGAAGTAGAGCTGTGGCTGGAGAGAGACCATCCACCTTGAGGGGGAAACAGGGCTGAGTGTGTATGGCCGAGCCCAAACCTTAGTACTAGGAAAAAAAACAAAATAAGAAGCTTAGGGGCTGGGAAGGTGGCTCAGTGGTAGAGCGCTTGCCTTGTATGCCTGAGGCCCTGGGTTCGATTCCTCAGCACCACATAAGCAAAAATTAAAAAGCTGGAAGTGGTGCTGTGGCTCAAGTGGTAGAGCGCTAGCCTTGAGCTGAAGAGCTGAGGGACAGCGCCCAGGCCCGGAGTTCAGGCCCCACAACCAGACCCCGCCCCCCCCCCCCAAAAAAAACAAGAAGCTTGCACACCATGTACCAGAATATAAATCAACACATTGTTTCCTCCTGGAGGGTCTCACTTGGACAAAGTGTGCATGGTAGGATAGATTTTCATTATAGTTTGTTTTTCATCTCACTGCACACCAGTAATACACTGGGCCCACACTAGCACTGGTCCACAGAGGAGACTACCCTGCAAGCAGGGCTAGGGTTTAACTGTGCTCTTTTCCCCCTTTACAGCCTCACTTCCCCCCTGTGCTACTGAGGCCTGGGGAAGAATACAACCATACCACCTGGTTCAAGTTCTCCGTGGCTTAAGGAAGAGTGACTTCTTGGCAGCCTGTCTTCAGAAGATCTGGAGGTTTTGCAAGTGATCCTGTGTGTTAAATCATACAAATGGTAGATTGACATGATCATCAGTCTGAATATTAGTTTTCTTTTTCAATAACCAGCCCCAGGTCACATTTAATGACCAGGTCATGTTTAATGACTATTCTCTGTGCAGTGTAGAAGTCAAGTGACGTCTCATCTAAGGCCTGACCCTAGCCCCAAAGTGGTGCCTGGGACTCTTGGTAGTATTGTGCCTTCTTTCCACATTGCCCTGTTCTTTTCTACTTATCCTTCCTTCTTTGCTGTTACTCTTTTCTTTTGTGTGTGTGTGTGTGTGTGTGTGTGTACTGGTATTAGGGCTAAACTCAAGGCCCTAAACTGTTGTTTTTTCTCTTAAGGCTGGTGCTGTACCACTTGAGCCACACCTCCACTTCCAGCTTTTTTGCTGGTTAATTGGAGATAATAATCTGGGATTTGTCTGCCTTGGCTGGCTTCAAACCATGATCCTCAGATCATGGTTTGAGAAGCTAGGATTCCAGGTGTGAGCCATCAGTGTCCAGCTTCTGTTTTTCTGTCCCTTCCCCTCTTCTTCAAGCCACCCACCAGAAGCCAGGACTTGAGTTCAGGTCATATAAACTCAAGTAAACTTCTTCTTAGTCTACCAGAGTAATTTCTAGTGTCACTGAAGGACAAAAAAAGGGGCTGGCCCCTGCTGTTAGATCCAGCCTTCTAAGATTCACCTTTCTAAGCTGCATAAGGATCCGCTGAACTGTCTTTTTAGCTGAAGAGGTGGTGTGATTTAAAGCATAAGATCCAAATATCCAGAATCTAGCTTCCCGGCCTTTGGGGTGAACAGAACGCCAGCACAGACACGGCGTGGGAAGATGGGCTGAGTGCCTCACCTGTTTCCCTGAAGGCACAAGGGGGCAGATGTCATGTTAAGTAGGGAAGGCCAGAGCCTCTTTTCCTGGATAATCAAATCAATCATGGGTCTGAGATGATGATTTTTTAGATGAATGTACTTTATACTATTATCTACTATAACAGGTTGTAATAAAACTAAAATCTGCATCTCCAGCTCCTTGACTCATCTTTAGGTTTTTATGTGTCAAGACACAAACTTTGAGAAATGGGCCAAGTATGTGCTGTATGTTCTGGATTCTGTGTGGTTTCGTTTTGTTTTGTTGTAGCAGTACTGGTGTATGAACTCAGGATTAGGGCCCTCTCCCTTACCCTTTTCACTAAAGGCTGGCACTATACTACTTGAGCCATACCTCCACTTCTGGTTTTTGGTGATTAACTGAAGATGAGAGACTCACATTTTTCTTCCTGGCATTGGCTGCAAACCAAGATGTTAAGATCTCAGCCTCCAGAGTAGCTAAGATAACAAGGAGTGAGCCCCAGACACCCAGTTGATATTTACTTATTTAGCCACAGTCCTGGGGTTTGAACTCAGAGCCTGGACAATGTCCCTGAGCTCCTTTTGCTCAAGGCTAGCACTCATACAGCATCACTTCAGGCTTTTACAGATTATGTGGTACTGAGGAATCGAACCCAGGGTTTCATGCATGCTAGGCAAGCACTCTACCACTAAGCCACATTCCCAGCCCCCTTTGTCTATTAGTGACTAGGGGCCGGACACTGGGGCTCACACCTATAATAATCTTAGCTACTCAGGAGGCTGAGATCTGAGGATCAAGTATTGACGTCAGCCTGGGCAAGAAAATCCTTGAGAATCTTATCTCCAGAAAACTAGAAGTGGTGCTGTAGTTCAAAGTGGTACTAGCCTTGAATGGAAAAAGCTCAGAGACAGGGGGGAGGGGGGAGGCTGGGAAGGGAGGTGAAGGGTAAACAAAGGAGGAGGCTGCAATGCTTGGTAAGAAATGTATGCATTATCCTGCCCATGTAATTGTAACCCCTCTGTACAGTATGTTCACAAATAAAATAAAATTAAATTAAAAAAAAAAAAAAAAAGAAAAAGCTCAGAGACAGCACCCAGGCCCTGAGTTTAATCCCCATGACTGATAAATAAGTAAATAAATAAATGGGGGGAGGCTCTCTACCAAACCTATATCTGATGAAAATAAAAATTTAGATGTTGTTTTTCTGTGTGAAAGTAGTCAACCTGGGCTGGGAAGGTGGCTCAGTGGTAGAGCGTTTGCCTTACATGCATGAGGCCCTGGGTTTGATTCCTCAGCACCACATAAGCAAAAAGAAGCCGGAGGTGGTGCTGTGGCTCAAGTGGTAGAGCGCTAGCCTTGAGCTGAAGAGCTGAGGGACAGCACCCAGGCCCAGAGTTCAGGCCCCACAACCGGACCCCCCCAAAAAGAAAAGAAAAGAAAGTAGCCAACCTATGCTTATATGAGATATACAAAGAGAACTCTGGGAAAAAATTTCTTGTTATGAGAAATGTAGACTGTGACATTATGTGAGTCTGTGGCATTTTACTGTTTTATAATTAAATCACTGAAGTCCTCATCAAGAAATATAACTAGGATCCCAAATACAAGGCCAGTATGGGCTACATAGGGTCTCAAAAACCAAACCAAAGTAATTATACCTTCACTGGGCACCAGTGGCTCACACCTGTAATCCTTGCTGCTCAGGAGGCTTCCATATGAGTTTAAAGCCAGTCAAATCCCAGAGACTCTTATTTCTAATTAACCAGCAAAATGCTGGAAGTAGAGGTGTGGCTTAAGCAGTAGATGAACAGCCCTGAGGAGAAAAAAAAAAAAGGAAACACACAAGGCCCTGAGTTCAAGCCCCAGTACTAGCATACACATGCATGCATGCACACACACACAGACACACAGTTATACCTTGAAGACTGAACTGTTATAGCGATTAGGTAATCAATGGCAGTTCAATCATGAATAAATGAAGTTCAGTATAAAACACTTGACAATGCTAGGCAAACACTGCTTCAAATTTCCTGAATAGGGGGTAACAATGTTCAAGAGGAAGTGTACTCATTACCTCACTCAGGTAACTGTAACCCTCTGTATAGTATCTTTACAATAAAAAAAAAAAAAGAAATACTTTGACCAATAAAGAAACCTAAATATCAAAAAAAAAAAAAATTTCCTGAATAGAATTTTACTTTGTATCTTAAGATTATTTCTTTGGGGCTGGGAAGGTGGCTCAGTGGTAGAGTGCTTGCCTTGCATGCATGAGGCCCTGGGTTTGATTCCTCAGCACCACATAAGCAGAAAAAGCTAGAAGTGGTGCTTTGGCTCAAGTGGTAGGGCGCTAGCCTTGAGCAGAATTGCTGAGGGACAGTGCTCAGGCCCAGAGTTCAGGCCCCCCGACCAACAAAAAAAAAAAAAAAAAAGATTATTTCTTTGAACACAGTGACCTCTACTGATAGTAATATGAATTAAAATGCAATTCAATGTCACTTCTGCCTGTTTCATAAAAAAGTTCCATCTAAACATGGAGTGATTTGGTTAGAGGGGATTAGAGTAACCTAGAAGATACATAGCAATCTCCCTGAATCAATGAATGCTTTCCTATTACTATGGCAACAAACTTCATTAGTCTGACAGTTTTCATGAGGATCACTGGGGAAGTAGAGAGGTTTTTAGCCTAGTCTTCACTCTCAGTGACTGGTTCCACTAGAATGTTAAATTCCCTGGACACTGCCCCTACAGCTTTGCCAGTTGTCACTCACATTCACTAAGCACATAAAGGTGTTTAGTTAGAATTTATTTATTCACAAAATACTTATAATCTTCCAGACCATAAGTATGTCTGGAGCTGGATGCTGGTGGCTCACACCTATAATCCTAGCTAACTCAGGAGGCTGAGATCTGAGGATCACGGTTAGAAGCCAGTCTGGGCAGGTAAGTCAGACTCACCTCCAATTAACCACCAGAAAATCACAAGTGGTGCTGGGGCTCAAGGTGGTAGAGCACTAGCACTGAGCTCAGGGACAGCACCCAGTCCCATGACAGACAAACAGGTCTGTGAGATTCTATCTCCAAAATAACCAGCAAAGAGCTAGCTGGAAGTGTGACTCAGGTAGTACAGTCCAACGGAGCAAGATGAGCAAGCTTGAGGCCTTGTTTTCAAATCCTGCTAACAGCAAAAAAAAAAGGAAAAATAGGGCTGAGAAGTACAGGAAAGATAATAGAGTAGGTGGATAAGCTAAAATCATGTATGAAAATATCACAATGAAGTGGTTCAAGTGGTAGATTACGTGCCTAAGCAAGCACAAGGTCAAGTTCAAACCCCAGTACTACCAAGAAAATAAAAAATTCCACAAACCAATTCTGTATAATTAAGAAGCACTACTTAAAGCTACAATCCTGTCGTTACTGAGACATGGTGGCAGGAGGATCTCAAGTTCAAGGCCAGCCTAAACAAAGTTAAACTATCTCAAGATAGGTGCTGGCATCTCACACCTGCAATCCTAGCTACTAACGTGGCTGAGATCTGAGGATGGTGAGGGGCAGGAAAGTCTGTGAGACCTATCTCCAATTATCCACCAAAAATGGGAAGTAGAGCTGGTCTAAAAGTGGGAGAGTACTAGCCTTAAGCAAAAAAGCTTAGGGAAAGCACCCAGACCCCAAGTTCAAAGCCCCATTGACTGGGGCAGGGAGCTGGGGCAAGAGTATGCAGCCTAGATTAAATGAGAGAGCTTGTCTAGCAAGCCAGAGCTCAAGGTTCAATCCCCATTACTTAAAAAACAGATAGGGCTAGGAATGTGACTTAGTAAGTAGAGAGTTTGCCTAACATGCATGAAGTCCTGAGTTCAATTCCTTATTACCACATAAACAGCAAAAGCCAGAAGTGGCACTGTGGCTCAAGTGGTAGAATAATGCCAGCCTTGAGCAAAAGAAACTCGGATAGTGCCCAGGCCCTGAGTTAAAGCCCCAGGACTGGCTCTCCTCCCCCCTCCCCCCCCCCAAAAAAAGGAAAAAAAAGTATGTGCTCAAGGCTAGCACTCTTACCATTTATACCACACAACCACTTCCAGCTTTTTCTGAAGAGCTCCTTGGAGGTAAGTCTCAGACTTTCCTGCCCAGGCTGCCGTTGAATGACAATCCTCAGATCTCAGCCTCCTGAGGA